TGTTCTAAACAGCCCAGACTTTAATAGACCATTCATCCTACAGACGGATGCTTCTGACAGAGGAGTGGGGGCAGTATTGAGCCAGCTAGATGATTCAGGACAAGAGCATCCAGTTGCATACTTCAGTAAGAAACTCCTTCCTCGTGAAGAGAAGTACTCAACAATTGAGAAAGAATGCTTAGCCATCAAGCTAGGTGTGAAGGCTTTCCAGGTGTATCTATTAGGGAAGCAATTCCAAATACAAACAGACCACAGGGCACTTGTCTGGCTTAATAACATGAAGGACAAGACATCTAGATTAATTAATTAACTAATTATTAATAATTTGTGCATATATAAAGCCAGTTGGCCTTATTTGAAAGAGAGTTCTTTGTTATTCAGCTAGTCTCTAAGTAAAATATTTTGAAAAATTCTTGCGAGCTGTGACAATAGTTAACCACAGATAACTATAGATAACCACGGCTAACCATTGGTAAATACAGCTAACCATTGGTAACCACAGTTAACCATTGATAACCACAGCTAACCATAGATAACCACAGTTAACCACAGTTAACCATAGATAACTACAGTTAACATAGGTAACTTGAGATAACCAAAGCTACTTACAGGTAACCTAGATGCATGCAGATGATGCAGGTAAATGCCACCGTGAGACAGCCAAAGAAACGTAAACAAAGCACAGGGCAAGCCATGTCATTGGTTCTGCACCACTAATGTACATTTTCGTTTAACAAGTGGTAACCGTTATTTATAATTTTTGGTATATACAAACCCCCCTATAACTAGCCATATCTAGACAAGTCCTGCCATAAACTTACCAATTTTAGCTTGTTTGGTGGCCAATTAGTATATGTGTGTTACCTATATTCAAAGCCTCAAAAGTACAAAGCTATTTTTATTTTGTGCTCTTTTAATTTTGACACCTTATGGTATGTGACATTGGCTAAATGCTATTATTAAAAGTGTTTTTGATTATTTTTATTAGGTCCACAATAATTATGAGAAATACTTAAAACCACTTTTGAAGAATACAAAGTCCAAGTTGTGATAGTTTCTAAATAATTTATTTTAAATAATCATGTTTTGTAATAAAATAAGCTACAATTGATATTATACATATAGGTATGTAAAATTGTGCTGCTAATATTCAGTTAATAGTAATTTCTTTTATTAGACATATCATTTGCTCTCCTTTCTCATTGTAACCAGTTACTTTTTGATACTGAATACTGATCCTATGAAACGAAAATAGTAATAATAATGATGCACTGTTGCCAAATGTCCTTCATCAGCAGGTTGTTTTAGCTAATCAGTGGTATAATTCAAGCAATCATATATTATTATCCATTAGTATAGTTGTCAGTATCTTACCATTGTAGTAATTGCTAGTAGTCATTGTACATACTGCTAGTACAACTGATAAGATCATCCATAGGGCATTCATCTTCTGATATGTTGTTCTCAATGATGTGTCTTAAAGTGTTTGCTGTTATCCTTTCACTCGAGTTATATTGTTCCCTTTGTAGTGTAATGTTTGCACATGCTTTACCTTCTGCTGCCTTTTTAGTTAAAATAACATTAAGTTTGAGTGCCATTGTTTAGTCTTCTATTAAAGTATGTACATGTAAGCTAGGCTATGGTTGATTAAAATTTATTTATTTATTGATGACTTGCATAGGACCAACCAGACAAAAGTGCTGCATTGAGTAGATATTTCCTTTTTGCTACCATTAATTTTTTAATTATTGGAGAACCATTTAGATCTATTATTAATAATTATTATTGTTGGGGTAATTTAATAACTAATGAGCCACGCCCTGTCGTGCTACAAGCCTACAATGGCAAGTGAAGTTGTTCTCGAGCTAAAAGTTGAGAGAGAAAGGAGCAGACTTGACTTGGAGGAGCTAACAAACCTATTGGATGGAGGAGCAGTGTTTACTGACAAAAGAAGAGAAATGGGTAGACAATTTTGTGATAGCCTACTTGGAGTTTTAAAAGGGGGCTATCTATTTATATATGTTTTTCAATTTAAATAGTTAAAATGGTAGTGGAGGATCCAGTATTTAAGAGAGACAACAAGTATTTTCTGTCTACTGAGGAATCTTTTGACTCTGCAATGAGGAAAAATGTTCATTACATTGAATTATTGAAGTCCGGAAAGCTAAAGGAAAATAATGCTGAAGCCTATTTTAAAAGGTATTTGGGTATAATACTACTAGATTGCATTATGATAATTTTAATCATTTTAGTGCAATAGATGATGACTTCCCCGCAGCTGTTCATGAGTTAATGTTTGTACCAACAATTGAAGTAAGTTACTAACTAGTCTTGCCCCGCCCCTTTGCTACCTGCGGAGGAAGGATCTGGTAACACTGCTGTCTAAAATGTGTACTTCATGCCAGGGAATTTGGCATCCCAATCAGATTGCTCGAGCCACGTGTAGGACAAGCAGCCATATGGCTGAAGAGCTCTGTTTAAGTTGAAAGACAAAGAATGAGGACAAAATAAAGAAAGGAAGAAGCCTGTAATGCCTCCTGGACTTCTTTCTTAAGATTTACAAGCAGCATTACTGTCCTGCTTACTATAGCAACACCATCGCACTTATGACATACATGTAATAATACTGTGATGTATTTGCAATGAAACGTTATTTGTAAATACTATGAGAGATGTCCAAGAGACTCTATCCTCATCTTATGTTAGCTCCAAAGCATCTGTTTCAGCTATCTTGACTGATTTGGTCTCCTCTGTCACATGACATATTACTAACCACCTGTTCTTTTTGCACAAGTCTTAGATAGCTTCCTCAGCAGGTAGCAAAGAGGCAAGACAAGACTAGTCACTAATTAAATTCATAGTTTCATGTGCTATTAGTAGTGTATAATTGTATATTAAATACATTTTTAACATAATAGGGTCAAGGCAATGAAGAACAAAAAGAGAAATGGTTAAAAATATCTCGTAATTTTGATATCATAGGATGTTATGCACAAACTGAACTTGGACATGGTATAATCAACAATTGTGTTTTTTGCTTTTTAATTTGTTATTTCAGGAACCTTTATTAGAGGTCTTGAAACTACAGCAACTTATGACCCCTCAACTGAGGAATTTGTTATGAATTCCCCAACACTAACTTCAATGAAATGGTGGCCTGGATCAGGTACAAGTATCTCGTTAAATTTTACATGATGGATACATGCATTTTAGTTGGTCACACTGCCACACATGCTATTGTTGTTGCAAGATTAATAACTAAAGGAAAAGATGAAGGAATTCATTTATTTATTGTGCAACTAAGAAGCCTTGAGGACCACAAGCCATTACCAGGTATTAAATTTATAACTAAAGCATTTCATCATTTATAATTAAAGGAATAAAGGTGGGTGACATTGGACCAAAGTTTGGATACTTTGGTATGGACAATGGTTTCCTCCACATGACAAATGTGAGAATACCAAGAGATCACATGCTAATGAAATATGCTCATGTATGAAGTAAACTTAAAAAAAGACATTGAGAGTTGAAGATGATTCATGTAGGTATCACGAGATGGTACATACTCAAAGCCTCCAGCTGAAGCTGATAAAATTTCATATGTTATTATGGTATATGCAAGGGCTCTTATTGTTGATCATTCAGCAGAAACTCTGGCTAGAGCTATTACCATAGCAATAAGATACAGTGTTGTGAGGAGACAAACACAAAATAGACCTGGGTAAGATCTTAATTTATTGTAACCTTAATGACTTAAAGGAGCGGCCTTATGTTTATCGGCTTAGAGTGGGTTTCCAATATTATGCTAAGCTTAACATTACATTGACTTTGGAATTGAGTGTAGTTCAACTCTAGTCTAAAGCATGTCGAATTTTGCCCATAATTTTGATTCAAATTGACAGTGTGCATGTGCTAGCCTAGCATCATAATTAAACCTGTCGTAGCACTACAATTATAAGAGTTGGGCAATGCAATGTACATGTACCAGTATGATTATTATTTTTGAAGTATATCTATAATTTAGTGAACCCGAGACGCAAGTATTGGATTATCAAACTCAGCAGTTTAAGCTCTTTCCTTTATTGGCCTCTGCTTATGCGATGAAGTTTGCTGGTCATTACATGATGAAACTTTACACTGAAGTGACTAAAGAAATTTCTGAAGGGAACTTAAAATCTCTACCCGAGGTATGGTATTATTAATATATTTCAATATTTATTAATGCTCTCTTTCTAGCTTCATGCTACTAGTGCTGGTTTGAAAGCATTTTGCAGTGAACTGTGCTGCAATGGTATTGAGGTACTATAATTATTTATGGTTTCCCACAAGCATGCTAAATGAGCTAAATAGCCTGCTTCATGAGCTCACAAGCACTGTAGATGATATGGCTTTAGAGCAACTTTGAAAATTTATAAAAATCCAATTTTGATGGGAATCAGCTCAAACTTGCCACTTAAGATACAAATATGTATACGCATCAGAAAAAGTTATTGAAATAAAAAATTTTCTCTTAGTCATTTTTAGTGAAATTTGCCCAAAAACCCTGTATGCAGGTTACTATTTTGTACAGGGACTTTGGCCCTATTTTAGTAACTTTAAAAATTTGTAAAAAGTCTGATTTTGATCGGACATGCTACACAACATATGAACATGTATAATTGTATATGTATCAGAAAAAAATTATTATGGAGAAATCTCTTTTACTCATTTTGGGTAAAATTTGGCCAAAGAACCTGTACTATTAGTAACATGCATGGTAGCATTACTAAATAGGATTCACCCCACAGAGACTTTGGCTCGATTTTTAGTAACTTTTAAAATTTATAAAGAATCAAATTTTTATTGAAGCCAGCTTGAAATTTTCATACATGTATGCATGTGAGAAAAATATATAAAATTGGAAAATTTTCTCCTAGCACCCTGTATAGTGTATGGTATTTTGCCAATTTTTTGAGCAAATCATAACATCCACTGACAAGACACTATCCCAAAATTTTGTGAAAAACCCTGATTACATGTATATTGTGTAATTCCATGTGCTTCATCACAATGAATTTTTCCTATAGTTGTGCAGATTAAGTTGTGGTGGTCATGGCTACTCAGCTGCCAGTGGTCTACCTCAACTTTATGCTGATTATTCTCCTTCTCCAACATATGAAGGAGAGAATACAGTTATGCTACTGCAAACAGCAAGGTGATTATCATTACTATTTTTCATTTATCCTGTCCTTTTTAAAGGTATATC